ACTGACAATCCTCTAATATATTTTTCAAAAGTCAAACTCCTGTCACATGGAAGTGGAGAAAAGTGAGAGATGCTGAGGTGGATTAGTCAGCAGGGAGGAGTAATGTGAGTTTTTCACTTCAACAGGTTGCCCTAGATGCAAAGGAAAACCTGCCAAGCTTTTTCCCACTGGCATAAAGGGTTTCAGCTTTTAGAAAATATCATAATGGCTGTCTCACAGATATGCTGAGATGACCTAGCACACAGCCAGTAAACTCATTACAGGGTTGGTGGCAAGCCATAAGACATAAGGGCCCAACAGTGGGCTGTCATGGTTCTTTGACAACAGAGCATGTAAACTTGTTAACTTTGACATCCAAATGACCCCACACAAGAGGAGGGGGAGGACAGAAGAGTCACACAATCTGGGAAGACATCATTTGCTAGATAATACCTGGGACAGCGGCGGCTGTCCAAAACACTGTTTTCAGTACTAATTAAAATAGGCTCGGGTTCTGTAAGGCCACAAGCCAGCATGTATGCCTTCTGGTTGTTCTTAAATTAGACAAGTCCGGATTCAGCTGAGACCGAAAGAGATTGCATTAGACACTACAGCGCATTAGACGAGCTGTGAAGCAGAAGCTAATGCAGGCAGATAGAGGTCACACCAACAATTGGAACTACTGTAGCCTGTTTAACAGCAGTGACTCTTTGTTGTACAGATGAACTGCTGGAGCCTTTAGTAATGTAATAATTTGCAGCTCCCATAAGGACAAATTCTCACATCAGCATCAGATGTTTGGCTCAGCAACAGCACACCAAGACTCAGTATCTAATTATCATATATCTCAGAAGCATATTGGATACTGGCCACCATGCGGGTTTGAATCTGGTCACTAAATTTGGGGATGTCTTTCCCACTGGTCCATACCATGCTGCTTTGCCTTCTTCCTATGCAATTTAAAAGCTTTTTGTGGATTTGCTTCCTCCATGAGCAAATCCACTAATCACTGTGTTCAGATTAAATGGATTTTGTGCAAAATGTTGCTGTCATGAATGCTGCTGTGACATCACTGTAACCACTGTTTAACAGCCCACCTGAAAGTTTTAGGGGTGAATAGTTGAAGAGGAGAAGCACCCAGTCAGGTCTGCTGTTATTGCCAGGCCAAGCCCATACTAAGCTGACTAAATTTGAAAACAGACCTTCTTTTCCTATTCTAACCTTCCTAAACCAATGTCCCAACAAAATTATTGCATCTTGAATACACAAATTAAAAAAAAATGGTTCTTGTACAGACACATCCAGGTGCTGTGTAGCAATAATGATATGAAGCCAACTTTCTGTTACCCACGGTTCTCTTTGTGATTGCTCATTTTTAATGCTAAAACAGAGTAATCACACAGTACAGCTTTTGACATTAACTTGGTTCTATTGTCAAGCTTTGGTATTTTATACGTGTTGTCTGACAATAGAAACCGAAAAATAGGACCAACTACATTGTGTTGAGTGGGGAAGTTCAATCTTGTCTTTGGCATTATACTTACTAATCATACAAAGCAGACATAATGCCAAAAATGAATATTCTGTTCATCAAATCAAGATCATCGAGTTTTGTTCTTAAAGTTTTTATAGCCTCAGTTTTATTGACATACTTTGGCACCAAAACTTTGAAGTAGATGCCTGAGGCTCTTCATGCAGATCCCTGTCCAGAATCATCATCTGTTGCACTCCAACACCTACTACAGGCTATAGTATTCTTGTTTAACATCTCAATGATTGTCACATCCCCTTGACCACCTTTCATATTAGTCCTAGACCACTTTGAGTTAGAAAGACATTTTTTACGTCTAACCATTCCCTGCTTATGTCTGTCACAGTGCGGCGCTGCTGACACGTGGTTGTCAGCAGCAGCACTACTGACATTCTAGTTGTTTCAGTTCCACTACTGATGTTTTTGATTGTGCTAATTATGAATTCTAACAAACATGCATCCCCTCATGAACAGGCAGCATTCATCAGGTTGAAATGAACAATTTGCAACAAGTTTGTGTAGTTAAGACACATTGATGAAAAGGTTGATGAAAACATAAAAAAAAAAAAAAAATCACTTAGGATTGTGTGAATTTCTTTCTGGAATTTTAAAGACAAAACAATTAAACAGTTAATTGAAAAATGACAGATTCATCAATAGTGAAAATAGTTGCAGTCCTACAACATACTTTAAGTGATCATGGAGAATCAGTGGTAAACTAGAACTACCGCCTCATGGTTGTCTGCCTCCACCAACCAGTCAAGTTGCAGAAAACGGTCACAATCTCCCCTTAATAATAACATCCAGAAGTGTTTTTGTAGAAGGGTAAGTTGACCTTTGATCTTGTGGATATAAAATGTTATCATCTTATCCTGTTAGACATTTATGTTAAATAGTGTCTTAATTAGCGTATGAAATCTTGAGTTATGGCCAGAAAAGGGGTTTTGTGAGGTCACAGTAACCTTGACCTTTGACCAACGAATAATAATCAATTCATCCTTGAGTCCACGTGAACGTTTGTACCAAATTTGAAGAAATTCCCTCAAGGCATTACTAAAATATCATGTTCACGAGAATGGGACATACACACGTACATCCAGACAGACAACCTGAAAACATAATGCCTCCGTCCGCAGGTGTCACCAGTGGAGAGGCATAAAAAAAAAAAAGAGGTTTAACATGCTGAGACCATTTCTTTGACCAGACAGACATAATATGCAAAGCTTAGTACAAAATCTTTTCATAGCATGTTGCCAGCACAGCCATAAAAAGGTGTATTCTCACAATTTGACTTAAGCCTGACCTTGAACACAATTTCTACCAGTCCCATGTGCAAATGGGCACCTACCTCTAGTGTGAAAATGGCCTCAGTGGGAGCATGTCCGGCTCACACCCCTACCCCACCCCCTGTCTGTGACAGCCACATCAGCCAATTGTCAAGACCAGCTGATGTGTCCTTTCCCAGTGCAACATACACACGCACACACACACACACACACACACACACACACTGTATTTAAAAGGATTTGTGCAAATTCATGAGAAGACCCCTAGCTAACGTCTCAATAATCTCTCACACAGCTCTATAAAAAGACATGACTGTTTAGCAATATGCTTATGACTGCCTCTGCCAGTCTAAAGGAAGCTTGTTGTCACCTAACATATAGAGACCTGTGTCATCCAGTGTTTAACAAAGGCCAAGTGAAAGCAAAGGAACACGTAATAATTCAACGGAAATACTGAATAGTTAATCATCAATATTAATATCGATTATGAGCCCATTAAAAATGACTCTTTAATTTCTTGGCTCTTTGACTTTTGGTCTTAAAAGTGTCACGTTTGACAACCTGCACTATAAAAAAGCTTTTACCTCACCAGATGAGGCTAATCTCAGTTGGGTTCAGTTACAAGAAACAAGCATTTAGTGCATCAACCTGTGCATCATCAATCTACACTGTCTGGCAACAATACCCATTCTGTATCAGTGTGGATGAGTGAAACATTTATCTTTAAATGGCACAATCAGTGTAAAATCATAAATGCTGAACTGTCCTAGACACCATCACTAATAAGGAAGTGTGTCACTTTCTGTTCCCTCTCTCGGTTACATCCTCAATAGGTTGCCAATGAACCTCCCAGATGTGGGTGATGTCAACAGGGGAGTATACTTGCACAACAGTCCTGTGTCCTTTGAACCAAAGGGCCGCAAAACCAAAGTAGGGCACTGAAACTCTTGACTAGAGACATAATGGCTGAAAGATTGCAAAGAAAAGCACAACGCCTGACAGCTGTTTAAAAAAACAAACTTTTTTCCTCAGAATATCTTATTCTCTTTAACTGGAGAAAGTTTGACACTACTTACTCAGCATTATGCCAAGGTGAGTAACTCTGTTCTGTGTGAAATGAGTTTATATGGATTTTTCATTCAACCAACATGCCTTCTCTGAACCTCTATGCAGAAAGAAATACAGTCAAAAATAAATAAATAAATAAATAAAAATACTATGAATCGATTTGAATGACATGCAGGTGCAATGTCATAATATGGGATTAAATTCTGGTGATCCCTGCCTGAAATTGCGTGGGCTGGCTTCTTAAAATAAATCTTTACAAATGACACAGTTTAGCAGTGAAACCCGGGTCTACTGCCTCTCACTCATGCGCTCTACACACAAGAGATGACATCATGTTGGGTCAGCTTGGGTTTTAGTGCTCAGCTTGCTCTCTACATCTGCCATTTCGAGCGCGTCATGTTAGCCTACATTTACTTTTTAACGCTGCTTATTTAACCGAGCACCGTCCTGCGTGCAGGTGACGACCGTCTTGCAGCATTCACGCCAAGAAAGACTTTTGAAAAAAATAAAATATGAATGGCGTGCAGTTATTGTATGTGGCTTAAATGAATGCAAGCTAATATTGCAATCGAAATCGTTAAAACAAAAGTGTCAAGGATGCAGATTATGCTCGACCGGTTAACGGTTACAGAGAGACGTAGTAAATGTAGTAAAAATGTGGTTCGGGTCATGTGTAGTGGACGTTTCACCGTCTCAACTGAAAGCCATTGTGACTCTGCGTTGATAGTAAAATCTCACTCACAACAATGTAGGATGCAATGGACGGTACCACAGTCATTTTGAATCTGACACACACGCACACTATCCCCCAATGCTAAACTGACACCTCGATCAAGTTTACATAGCGTCCAGCCGCCTTGTCGTCTTTAAAAAACAAAAAACCCTCAACTGTACACTTCATTACAACCTGTCATCCGTTTTTGCTCTTCATACTCACCCCCCTAAGGAGCAAACCAAACAGGAAAGCGTCTTCCCCCGGCAGTTCACAGCGTAAATATCCAAAAAAAATCAGCGTAGATTTTTCAGCAGGTGCAGCTCAACACATCAATCAACAAACATGCACTTCGCTCAAAGACCGTTACAAAGCAAACCTACGCACTTAACCCCAGCGAGCTGATGCTGCTCTCTGTACTCACCACCTCTGAGTGGAGTGGCGTTCAAACAACAAGCCGAACAACGTCGAAACCAGACGACGGTGGTCATTTCCAACTTCCAGGTGCAACCTACGAGAGCCACGACTAATTTATATCCACTTTTACTGCTTTGACATTTAGCTGCAGTTGTAGCTTAGCCGTTGACACAAGAGGAAGTGTCATTTCAGTTTGAAAGCGCGAGGCTACAGCACGAGCTGTTAACCGTTAGGGGGGAACAAACAGTGACAGCGACACAACAACAGAGAAAAAGAAAAAAAGAAAAAACAAAAGCCGCTCACCTTTTGTAAAAGTCGTCGTTGTTGAAACGCGTACGCACTTCAAGAGCATTTAGTCCGACTCTGAAGATGTCGGTGTGACTTTGCGAAGTGCTGTCAGTTGGTCTGGACTTCCTGAATGACGGAGCAGCAGGAGCACAACCCCTCGCCCGTGTTTGACAGCTAGTTTGACAGACAGGCGGAAATAAAGTTGTCACATGTAGTGAAGGATGAGTACTTTCCAGACTGTTATTTTTTGTGGAGAATAAATACCAAATTAAATGTTTTCCAAGTATCTTATGCTCAAATGGTTTACCCAAATCAAATGCAAAAATATACAGCATTTACCTATCTCTTCAATAATGCTGCTTTGAATAACAAGACAATAAATTAAAAGTTAGCGACCAACAATCCTACACCTTATTTTCTTCTTCTGCAAATCATTAAAGATGCATGGACTGAGTCACACCGATTCTGTTGCAACTTCGGTGATGGCAATCAAGCTCATCTCCTGAATATAGCTACTTAGTACAATGCTGCCACCTGCTGCTACTTTTTTGAAGTTCAATAGTAACATTCCTGCACCGTAGGGATGTACCTGGAAATATGTGCGAAAATGTGTCCTTGTACAAAACGAGACACTGGTAAAATAACTCTGAAATACCTTATTGTAATGGATGGATTATTATCCTACATAAAAGACTGCCAGATTCAAAGAGAGGCGAAACAATTATAAGCTTTTTTCCCCACCTTTTGTGGCTGTTTTATGTCCATTTGTGGGCTGAGGAGCTCTCTGAATCCTTGGGGCCCTGGTCATATGCCTGGTAGGCCTCTTCAATAACCCATCGATACTTATTGTGAAACTTTAATCATTAATAAAAAAAACAATTTGAAAATTAAACACCGCTAAATTTGTAGCAACAACATATATTTCTATCTTGAACTGCCCTCTTGAATTCCTCCCTTTGAAAAGAAGGTAATTTTAAGTGATGTCATATAAATTATTGTTTTGTTTCTTTGGTGTGCACAGTGCCTTTCAGTTTGTGTCCATTTATGATGCTATGATGTTTCTTCAGTTTTTTGCATGTCTGCCCAACATAATACAGTAAAACATAGCTGCATGTCTCCTAACCGGCCAGGCTCTGAAAGACTTCATAAAGATTAGCAAATTTCTGTGAGTAGCTCGTACTGACAAAAGAGTGATAAGAATCAGGGCTGCAGCTACCAACAGTCCAAAACCCAAAGATATTCTGGGTATTTTTTAAAATACAAACAGTATAGAGGATGGTTCTTATCCGTTGACCTCTTGGGTATGGAATCAGCACCTTTCCACTGAACCAGTGCTACACACCCCAGATGGGACCCACAATGCCTGGCTTAGAATGCCAGTGCTTTATCCATTAGGCCACTTGAGCCAAAGAACTTACCTACAGAACCACTGTGGACATGGCAGTATTTCCTGGTAGTAACAATAGTAATCCCTTTATCATGGGTTCAGTTTCTATGAAGTAAAATCAGGGAATCATGAAAGTGGTCAATGCCTGTCTGATGTTGTCCATTGTAACTTACAATACAGTCAAACTGTTTGGGCCACAAAACATCAGACAAAAGTCAAATAATACCTGTTACAGATTCACAAACCATGATTACATCTTTAAATGTTGTGTTGAAAACCCAAAGAAATTCAGTTCAGTATCAAAAACAGCAAATATTCATATTTGAAAAGCTAGAACCAGTGAATTTTTGTCATTTTTGGTGATCTACTGCAGCTGTCATATTAATATGTACCCTGGGCTTCCTGGAAAGCAGTAATGATACTGAGTGGATAAATCTGAGTGGTGGTTGCAATCATGATATGCTAGAACTTAATGTTCAGGTTTTTACTTCTTTAAATGGAATATGTTAAAAAAGCATACAACCTACAGGACAATTTCTGGGTTGTTTACTGAGGACATCTATTAAAATTTCTGGTTACAGCAGCTGCAGTTCCAGCTGTTAGAAGGTTGCTGTAAGGTGCAGTGTAGACTTTTTCTATCTTAAATTGTAGTGCAACGCAAACAAATGTAAGATTATTTTTGCTGACTTTCGAACCATAAAATGGCAAGTGTTCCTGGATTACGTTTTTAATAAAATCATTACAACCTATCATAAACATAGTTGTTGTGTGTGAGTGTGAACTTGACAGAGGCATGGGACAGTTCCAGGATTAGAGAATTATTTGCAAAACCTATACTTCACTACTGCACCACTGGTGGAGGGATATATTAACAGTGTTTGTAAGGCTCTATCTCATAATATGTGGGTTTGCATTTACTCATAGACCTCAGTGTTGTAATTCCACGCTAGTAATTGGTGTAAATGGTGGGGCTTTCAGGGAGCATTTGTGCATGTATGCTTGGCATAAAGGTAAGACAGGTATGTCTAGACACAGTACCATACCTGGGGACACAGATCATGCCTGCTGTATTGTTTCTGGAATGTAATGTGTAAAGTCTGTAATGTGAGTTTTATTCACCTTAGAGGGGGTTTACATTCTACAGTTACACACATATTTACACATAGTATGCTGTATACACAACTGTTTTGAACAAAAACAGTAAATCATTTTTAAATAAATACATGAATGAATAAATAATCATAGTTCAATTAATCAAAAGTATTATGTTCCTTGTGTTGTCGTGAAGACTTTGAAACAGCATTCATACCTCGGTAATGGGAGATAATTCATATCTCCCACATAATTGCTCATTTCAATTTTACAGCTCTGGCGCCTATTCAAAAATGTTTTACGAGTAATGGGATAAACTACTGGATAAGCATTTTTAAGCACTGGAAAACAGAGAGGAGGTAGGAATACTTCAAGGAATTGAAAAACACAAACAGTGTAACTTATAACCACCCATTATCCTCGCCTCTGAGTATGGAAGTAAAGAACCGGCCCGGGTGCCAAAACAAAGAGACACCACATTCCCTCATGTTCGGAAAATTATGCCTGTTTAAATGTTACACCGTTGGGTTCATTGGGCATGTAAAAATGTGCCTATTATTGACTGGTACACTTCATCTTAGATTCTTCATTTCAATTGTTTGAAAATGTATATTAAATATGTTTTTTCCATTATACACGTTAAATTTACAGACATTGTGTACGGGCATAAGGTGAGACAGCTTGATACTCGGAGGTCCTGCCAGTTGTAGGCGCTGTTCCAAGCAAGCTGCAAAAACACAAATCGATTGTTTATTTTGTGTTTGTTTACATTTTCCAATCGAACAAATGGCTTCGACTTTGCTATCGCCTATGGTGGATTATTACAATGATGAAGAAGAACTTGATAGCGTGGATGACGACGATGATCGGAGTTTCAGGGGGAGAGACTCAGAAGAAGGTACCGTTAAACGATTTGACCAAAAGCTCCCTGGCCGTCGGGCTCTGTCTACTTGTTGGAAAAGAAACGGAAACGCGCGATTATTGCATAAATGTAGCATTTTTTTTAATTCTGCAATTAAAAAGATCTATGATTTAGGTTTAATTGTAAACACATTTCTCTTACAGTGCAACATGCACTATTTTAGCACATCTAAGTCTAAGTTTAAGTGCCTTTTTCCAAAGCGAGGTTCAGTTGCACAAATTAGCTTGGTAGCTACATAACAAGTTAGCTACCCGCCAAGTCCCAGCCGAGAAACATTTCAGAAGCAGGTGATGTAAACTAGATAAATCGCTCACCCTGGCTGGGTGTTTTCCTTGTTGGTAGCGCTGGTTACCAATAACATGATATTATAAATAAACTCGTGTTTGTTTATATGCTAACTAGCTAACGTTCCGTACTCATGTTAGACGTCAATCAGATTTAACCACATTATTCCCCAGACAGGTTAGCGTCATTGTGCAATAAGCAACAAAATGTAACAGTAATTTAAATTAAGCGGGATCTGTCGTGCTTCAGATTACTAATACAAACTTTTAATAATGATATCCAAAAGGGGTGGCTACATAGCGTTAATTAGCCAACTAGCTACGTAACGTTAGTTCCGAGCATTGACAGGTCACCAGGCAGGCGAAACCCTGCGTGCTGTGTCCACTGCACTGCCCTTTTCACACTATCCAGTGAGACGGGACGGATTGCAGTGAAAGGGAAAGAAAGGCAGGAGGAAAATAAGGCGATGACAACACTACAAGGTTAGCTAGTTTCCTGACATTGACTTCCAAGCGTACGGCCGGACTCATTTATTACTCCTCCGGATACGTTGACGGTGCTGTTGTGCCTAACTACGTGAGCTAGAATCGGGTTACTCTTTAAACCGCAGACTGCGCTAACTTAAGCTAGCACATTAATGCTAACCGAAAATGAAAGCTGCTGTGTCAGCTTAATACGACCGGGCCTTGCCCTTCTCATGAGCCGGGTTTTGAAGGTAACGCCGACTGACCTAGGTTTTTTGCCGGTGCTTGTAAACTTGGCTCTCAAGTTTGCCACATCGCACTTGCCTCGGTTTAACATGTTAGCGTTGTCTTTAGAGAGTTGCCGCTGGACTGACAGCACGGCCAAGTTAGCCGGGGACCGTTTCTGATTAATTTCACCATGCGGCAAATGCTTGACACTATAAGTGACACCTATCGCTCGTTATATTAATGAATTTCATTTACAAGCACCGATCGCCGGATACCAGATGTGCTCACCTTAGCTTTGCTCTAGCTGAAGTTTTTGCTGATGTCGATCCGAGAATATATAGGGTATGATCTTTCATGGCATACATAAGATTTCCCCTGGTCCCATAATCTTAACAAACCAGAGGGCATTCCCAAGCAGGGTGTTCACCATTACCTTGCCAGTGCCACGCACGTCCTTTGATCTGCTGTCTGTCTGTGCACTCAGGCTATTGCTTCAAGTTTGTGTAGGAAAAGCTAAAAATAAAATATATATCTTATTTCATGGTATGTCATGTAGAGTAGAGTAATTAAAAAAAAAAACCAATCAGTTTTGAGTTTTAGTTGAGAAATAGTTTTAAAATCTGAGTCCATTCTTCTCCTGTCATTCCCTTTTCCAGACACAGAGGATGCCAGTGAAACAGACCTTGCCAAGCATGATGAGGATGACTATGTGGAAATCAAAGAGCAGTAAGTGTTTTTGCCAACCATGGCTCAGCTGTTTTAACTTTAATGAAAATAATTTAAGGAGGAAAGTTTTGAATGTTTACCCTAATGCTGCACATAGTGGAAAGAAATGTGATATTATATTATTGTATATGGTTTATTTCGTTGCAGAATGTACCAAGACAAACTGGCCTCCCTGAAAAGACAGCTGCAGCAGTTACAAGAAGGTAATCATTTGGATGTTTTTCTTGTGATTGGAGGAGTCAGGAAGTTTCCAAATGTGAATGACTGGTGCAGTTTATCTTGTGGGATTTGCGTGAGGATTGGGGGGGGGGCATTTTTCACTGGAGATTCTTGAAGGACACAACAAAATCCTTTCTTATTGCTTATGGTAGCAGTAAGGGATTACATCATCAGGGCCATAAAGGCAGTTTCATAGATGGTTTAACAGTGCAGTCATAGTCTCTGCAGCTAAAAAGAGAAATCAGCTGAGAAACATATGATAACTGATGACAAACTTCTCCTCCACTGTGGACAGCTCATTTTAAATCATCAAGACTGTCCGCTGTTTACTGATACAAACTGGTTCTGAACTGCTGACTGGGCTGTTTCAAGGTAGTATAGCATCATCAGCTGGCCCATGAGGTATTTATTACCCAGACTGATATTGAGTATAGAAACTGTGGAGTGACACATTATGGTCTGTTTGTAAATCCAAATGTTGAGGTAATGTCAGTGTTATCTACTCAAAGTTATAAATGGATGCTGAGAGTAGAAGGTCTATAATGTCTGTTGTGATTGTTGCGAAACGAGTTGTCTAGAGATATTGATGACATATTTTAATGAAACAGCTGGTAGTGGAGTTTCAATAACTTAATGAATTTACTCACTTTCACCCTACACAAATATCTAAATCATAACATGATAACACCATAGAATCCTTAAAAGGAAATTGATTGATTGATTCCATAGATCTTCATTTTAGTTAAATGACACTTTGTCTTTGCAGGTACTCTGCAGGAGTATCAGAAGAGGATGAAGAAGCTGGATCAGCAGTACAAAGAGAGGCTCCGAAATGCAGGCAAGTTGAGCAATATGTAGAGACTGAACAAACTATTTTGTTTCTGATACATCTACACCAGACCATGGTTGGAGGGGATTATTCAAATTCTGGAGTGCTTCCTTATTTAGTTTGGTTTGTTTGGCGAGGAGAGAATGTTGGCACATCATCACCAATCAACTGGACCGTATAGGGCGAGCACATGAGTCTATGGAAAGGCTGATAAAGACATGTAGTGTGACTTAACACAACATAAAAGATTACTGAAGAAGTACAGTGTATACCTAGTTAGTTTTATGTACTCAGGTCTTTGCTGATCAAAATTTGAAAAATAAGTTTGTTTTACCCAAAATGCACTAGAAAAAAAGAAACAACCTCAGGCTTTGGTATTTGACCCACAATTATGATCAATTGACAACTTAACATAGAAATGTCAAAAGGGTAAAACACGGATGGATTATCAGGAACTTAATTGTTTGTTAGAAGGATTACACAAAAAGTACTGAACTGATTTTGGCTACACTTAATGGAGGGATGGGGGATGGGGCATGGGCCAGGGAGGAACCCATTAAGTTTAGGTCCTGATCCAGCAAAAGGGGCGGATCCAGGAATTTTCTTATCACTTTCCTTAACATAGCATTTTTCAGTATTTTCATCAATTTCTCAGGAAATAATGTTTGATCTTTATGTAAAAAAAACATTTTACATAAATATTTATGGTGTTGACATCTTTGATTTTGTACAGTTTGGTAAGGATCCAGATCATAAACTGGACCTGACAGACATGGATTGTTGGATGGATTGTTTGGCCTTAGCATAGGTATTTGCTCCATTGAGTGCCATTCTAGTTTTCTCCATTGTTTTTCAGGTTCATAGATATTTGCCAAAAGTTTCAGGGGATTTTTGCAGGAATCGCTGTTTCTTTGTGGCTCTGTTTTGCATCCTCTTCTTGAGTGTTCTTTTTTCTAGTCTTAAGGGTAATCAAAGTTGACTTTAGTGTCAGATATTATGTGCCACTGATTCAAGTTAAAGACATTCAACTAATATTTTTTCTATATGACAAATTATGTTTTTCCTCCCTTTTACAGATTTATTTCTGCAACTTGAGGTGAGTAATATTCATCTTGCTGACAGACTGTAGTTTATGCAGAATTGACTTTTTACCTTTTGGGTATTACATGGAAAACACCCGTTCTCTTTCCATCATTTCCGTCTTTCCGCCTTGTGCAGACAGAGCAGGTGGAGAGGAACTACATCAAGGAGAAGAAGGCAGCGGTGAAGGAGTTTGACGACAAAAAGGTGGAACTAAAGGAAAACCTAATTGCAGAGCTGGAAGAGAAGAAGAAGATGATTGAGAATGAAAAATTAACAATGGAGCTGACAGGAGGTAAGGGAGCCAGAACATGATTGTTAATCAGAAACTTGCTCAGCAGAAGAGAGAAACTGGGTAAAAATGTTATTAAACTGATTGAAAAAGGACTTTCCAGATGCAGTAAATCAAGGTGCTGCTGTCTGTCCTGTTGAGTTGCCTGTGTTGGTAGTTTTTCTAAAATAGGAATTTTGAGAAACATTAGATGCTTTCTGGATGTTATTTTTAGATCTCTGTTTGTTGTTATTTCTTTCATTTATAGACTCAATGGAGGTTAAACCAATCATGACTCGGAAGCTGAGGAGACGGCCCAATGATCCAGTCCCAATACCAGACAAACGAAGAAAACCTGCACCAGATATCCTTTGCCTACAGTTACCTATCAATTAAGATTAATCTGTGAGGGGTAAATTCTTCAGTTTTATTTGTAGTGGTAGTATTTATACAGTGAGTGCACAAAGGCAGTGTTTGATTTGAGACAACACTACCGTGTCGGGACTTCACGCACTTCGCCACTGAGTATACTGTGTACTCGGTGTACTACATGGGAGTGTGCTGACTGAAGTCTGCAATTTGAGACACAGCAAAAGTGAGCTCAGAGGTCATCATCAGTTACATGTCAGGAAATGGCCGAGTTTCTCAGCTAAATTGTGTTTATACCTTCCTTAACTCTTCAAACCTCAGCTAAATTATTTGTTAACAGACGAACAGATAATGGAAGATCTAAGAACACTTAATAAGGTAAGTGTCACTGAATTTATTTATATTATGCATGTCCGTGTTGAATCTTATTTCTACAAATGATTTCTTTTTAAAACATTTCTCACATTCTCATTTACAGCTTAAATCACCGAAACGGCCAGGTATGTCAGCGTTAACCTGCAGTTCTCTGGTTTAAGAAATAGTTTGTCATTGAGGGAGATACACTTATTCGCTATTAGCCTGGTTTGGTCCAAAGGAACGACCTCATGAAGGCTGCTAGTGATTGGTTTTTGCACAGATTAAACAAACAATAACATGTTAGTCAGCTTTAGGTGCCGGGAGGTGGATTTTCTTTCCAGCCCTTTTGCTAAGCTAAGCTAACCGCCTGCTTGATAGCATGGTATCATTCTCATCTCCCTGTCCTCTCAGCGAAAAGGCGAATAAGTATATTTCCCAAAATGATCCAAAACTATTACATAAAATATTAACCTATTAGTACATATGTTTTGCATGGTAATACTAATGAGATTTTTCTCCCTCTTTAGTGTCTCCCTCGTCCCCAGAGCACGTCCCCTCGGCTCCCATGGAGAACCCCTCCCAGCGTTACGAGGCCCGCATCGAGGAGGGGAAACTTTACTACGACAAAAGATGGTGAATTTGGAGTTTCATCCTCTAAACAGTCACCACAGTTTTTTTTTCCCCCCTTGACATTGGTCTGTTTCTCATATAGCGTGTGTCACCACTAGATGGCCACATTGCCACGGGTTTGATGTCTCTCGTGTTTGGCTGGTCCTCAAAAGACATTTTACAACCACTTTGATGGCAGCCTCTCTTTGTCTGGGCTACAGAAAGAGATATTACTCAGGAGCCAGTGAATAAGTGCTGGTGCTTGAAGCCACCATAAAAATACATATTCAGAGAAGGTGGGTGCATCAGAACCAGTGGTGCTTTCTGCTGTGATGCAGATATAAAGAGATTGAAAATCCTTGACCAAAACAGCTCTGATGCCCCTCTGTTTGAGAGCAGAGCTGTGCCTCAGACATGTGTCAGAACATAAGTTAATTTGAAGAGGGGTAAAAATAATACAATTCTGTCTGATGAGCTGCTGATATAGACAGAGGAAGTTGAAGAGGCACAAGCTGTGAGTTATGTGCACTTTTCTTGAAAGGCAAAATCTCATTTATTCATTGCTAAAGAAGACACCACCACCGGAAAGCCTCCTCAAAGAGCCGGAGGGAGACTCATGCGTCATTATTCTTCAGTGGGTTCTTAATGATCAAATGCTTTGGTTGTCAGTCTCTACCCTTGGGTCGGTTTTGTCCTCTGACAGTTTGGAGCCATTAAAAAAAAATAACAGACTTTTTTGTTTTGACTTTCCAGGCCAATTATCTATTTAGTGCCATCTTAGGAGGAATGTGGTTTATTCAGATGGGTAAAATTATGTATAATGAACCCCTCTCCTGTCTGCACTTATGCCTTTCCCTCATTCCTCACCAAGAATGCTGAATTAATGCTGTTTGTGTGTGTGTTTTCTATTGTTTTTATGCGGACAGGTACCACAAGAGCCAGGCCATCTACTTGGAATCAAAGGACAATACAAAGATTAGCTGTGTCATCAGCTCAGTGGGGACCAATGAGGTGAGCTTTAGGTCTTATCCAGCTCCTGTCGCATACAGAACTGGGTTAACTGCTTAAAACATAAGGCAGGTGATATTTTAGATTTTCCTTATTGTCAACAAATCCTATTATTCCTGTCTGTGTAGCCAAAGCTTGATTTATTTTACTTCTCTGGTTTTCCAAAAACCATTAAAAACATGTCAGTGTGTTACATATATTACAAGTGTTTGACTAGTAACGAACACTTAAATCAACACATGACGTATCACTACGAAGAAATCGTCACTGGAAAAGGGAAGTCCATCTTTCCAGTGAGCAGTTTGACAAAAGAATACAATGAGAGAATTTATTTTCTGCACCCTGGATTAAGGAGAAAAGCAGTTTGGCTGCCTTCTCACAAACTGGCTTGTAGTAGATAACGGGGGTTTATATTGACAAGTCTTAACCAGTGACAGCTACTCTTGGAGTGCATTGTTTGTAAATGACTTCACTGAAGGATTTTTCTTTTGCCTTTGTTCTGCAGATTTGGGTGAGGAAGACGAGCGACAGTACGAAGATGAGGATCTACCTGGGACAGCTGCAGAGAGGAGCGTTTGTCATCCGTCGACGGTCGGCTGCATGAAACATCACCCCCCCCACCCCCACCCCCATATGTTCATTTATCCATTTGTCCACCCACTCGTTCATCCACCGTTTCCCAATTTGGCAAATCTCAGTTAAGTTTGACATGTGGCCTCTTTATCATTTACACTACCCCCCTCCCCAATGACACAACCATACACACACACACACACACACACACACACACACACACACACAAACACACACACACACACCTCTTCCATGGCCAATGATATCTCATCATATTGTATGTTTTCCTCACATAAACCAAATGCTAGTACAGTGAAAGTGGTCATACACACGACTGACTGTTTTGCAGCATTATTTGTCACTATGTGGCATGTGTATGAAGGCCGTTAGTGGTCATAAAGTCATAAAGGAGGCTACTTTGATTGCTGTCTCATGCTGTCAACACAAATCTTTTCTACACCATGCAGTCTTATTTACATTTATCATTAAGTTATTTTTCCTGAGCAGCCTCGTGTTGACCCACAGGAACCGTCTTCAAGCCTTTCAAACTGTCGCACTGGAAAACCTTACTGACAGGATTTGTGGTATTATTTCTACAAAAAGACACTGATTAGGCCTGAATCTGTCTAATAAAGCTGCATCTGTTCCTTATTGTCATGCCATTTTCAAAACATTATGTCTTTTGCACTGTCATGAAGACATGGAGGCTTGCTATGCTCATTTGAAGAAAAAAAAAAATATTTTGAAGATTTTATGTTGATATTTTTTATGTCCTTTTGTCATCCTCTCCATATGTGAACGATCTGGATTAGTTCAGCTTTGTTTTGCATGTGGAGCATTAAGCTGACTATTGATTTGTACTGTGTTCCATTTTATTAAAATGTTTTCTGCCTTTTATCTACTTGATGAGTTTCACTGTTTGAATGATTCTGAAATACGCAAACAAGTTTTGCTGGCATTAAACAAGCTTTGTAATTTAGAAAAAGAACATTACATTCAGACATTTATCCAACTTTGCTTTGACTTCAGCATCTGTTTTATTCCAAAAATACAATATCTGATTCTTGTATGTCCCATTTTATTTGGCCAGTATTGATATGGTGAATGGACTGCATTTTTCTAGTCGTATCAACCACTCAAAGCGTTTTACAAATTCCCCCGTACACACACTCGTACACTAATGGAACAGTGATCAGGGGCAATTTTGGGTTCGGTATCCAAGAACACCTCCACATGCGGACGGGAGGAGCCGGGGATCAAACCAGAGACCTAATCAGTGGACCATTCGCTCGACCTTGTTTCTTTGTAACTTGGTTATTTGGAGTAGCCTCTTGGTGGGAAAAATATTCCTCTCGGGTGAGGTGTTCTCACCTTGCTTTGAGTAATGGACCACTTTTGATCAGCTGATATCCTTTAAATCCCTCCGCCCCCTGAGGGAGACTACTGACGTCATCGGCTGCACATTAATAAGTGAGGTTACATATGCATTAGTATCCTGATTTTGAGCCTCATTCAGTTTTTTGATTCATATACTCAGAAACCTGAATGAGGTGTTTACAAGCCACAGTACTCCAGGTTATAAAAACAGATTTCTCCTAACTGGGATAAGGTCTTATCTAGCTCTCTGAAACTGGGATAAACTGTTTACATGCACAAAACATAACCAGGATACTCCAAAAACCAGACCATAACTAGGATACTAGTGTGCATTTGACCACTTTTAGAGAACAGTTACAAAATTTGCTTATTATAAGGATCTAACATGTTTAATTATATCTTAAATGAAGGGTAATGGCGGGGTAAGGACACGTGAATTGCTGTGTGTTTCTCTCAGTGCTCGGTGTCCATGTCATCTGTGGGAGGGATATTTTTCCACATCACCAGTAACTCCATGTAATCAACCTGACCAAGTCACCTCACAGTTCCTCTCCACTCACACAGCTGCTCTCAACCATCCCTCCACTTTGTAAACAGCTGAATTATTTGGCATTCAACATGGGTCCCCCGCCGGCCGAGCAGCCTGCCTTCTCCCTCTTGTGTGTCCTATCGCTTTAACTGGATGGCATGTTTCACTTTGCCTGACTTAATGACAGAGCCTGACAAGGAGGGCAATTACTGTTTTGCCATGCTGCACAAAATGCAGGGCTCATCTCAAAAGGCTCGTTGTCCAGAAGCCGTCAGGTGTGATTGCTCAGTCTCTCGCGAGGGCATGAAATGAGCTGATAGTGAATGTGATGCCTGTCTGCTCCCTTTATTGCATCCCATGTCTGGCTTTTGGTTAAAGCCAGAATAACATACTCTGAGACACTTTATATGAGATCCACAGGATATGGATTTCCTGTGAGTTTTTTGGCATCAGTCTCATATCTAACCACTGTATCTCTTCATAGTTGGGCCATTTTAAGTGATCTAGTGGTAGCAACCCTGACCACAGAGAGACAATGAACAACCACAGAGAGACAAAAAATGCCAAAAGCAACCACAAACACATGCTAAACAAACCACAAAGATGACAGCAAAATGCAAAGTGACACTATGATGGTGTGACTACGTCATTTTGTGTCTCTCTCAGTCTGTGTGTGTCTTGCTCCTGTGTAGGAAGGGTGGGGGACCTTTGTGTGAAAATCGGCCCCCTGGACACAGTCTCAATAACTGTAGGCTCTTTGGAGTTACAAACAGCTGTCCCTTGATCATATTTCATATTCCAATTTTTTAAAATTTCATTTATTACACTAAATAAAAATGTAACTATTAATAATGTATGTCAGTATGTTTATTGCTGCCAAGACCCAGGATTTTAAATTTGCGTGTTTTTGCAGTTTCCCACCACTACCAGTTTATTTGAATGGATTTTCACAACTGTTCAGAGTACTCCCACTTGTCATCAACATCTTTCTTACACTTACAGATTTCACACACTTACGTGGTGTGTGTCGATGACCCGTTTTATTGCCTTATAATCCTCACGTTTAACCAAGCAGCAGCGCCCACCCTCTCTTCTTCACACCCTTGCCTTTCAAATGATCAATTTCTTGCTCTTTTTGTGTATCAGTCCTAAGCTTTCACCGCAGGTGGCTGTTTATAATGTCTTAAATCAATATGCTGAATAAGCAAGAGAACAAGTAGGAGCACTTAAGCATGTGGACAGTTTTCTGGTGATGAATCAATTTTTCCTCATGCGCCATGTCTATTGCCCAGAGTGTGTAAAACACCTGCTGACACTCACCATGCACAAAACAAAAGGAAGCTCTCCAGCCTTCCATGACCAGAAGTCGTTACAGCACTCAGGCTGTGACTTGGGTTTGTTGGTGAGTCTTGCCGGAGCTGTAATACTCTTTGGTGGTTATTGCTTGTGTGCATAAAAAGTCACCCGGGGCATCAATAAAAATCCCCCTCACAATCCCCCACCAGCCCCAGTTCCAGCACTGAACTCCCTCTTTCATCCTCTTCCCCCTAAATTGAGCATTTTCTCCACTGCATGTTAGCGCTTGGATGCATGGCTCCAGGGCGGAGGGCTGCATCTCACTCTGCACTATCTGGCGGGAACCAAGTGGGATGCAGGCAGACTTAGATTTGCCTCTGGTGGTATGAAGAGTGGATGGTAGCTCCTTGACAACCCTCCTGCTAGGCCCTGTTGTGAGTGAGTGTGTGTGTGTGTGTGTGTGTGTGTGTGTGTGTATGCCTGTTTCTCCAGTTTATCACTCTCCAGCAGGTCTGCACTGGGAGAGGAATTCATTTACAGTACAAGCTTCTCATTTGACTCTTAATATTTGACCCCAGGTTGTGGAAAAGAGTTGCAGCCTCACTGGACCATTTGGCAATACGGATAATTTTAAACATTCATGTTGTTAAGCAGCTACTGCTCATTACAAAATCGGGTCATCGTATCTGTTATTTATACGCTCAGAAGTATTCTGTTTAGCTGCTCTTTTGATGTTACGCACTAAGACAGCATAACATAAAGCAGAACAAAGTTAAATAAATCATCCGTCTCAGAGGCCAGGGTGTGAGCTTCTGAAGTGGGTATACTGTATTTCAAATAACCAGCTTCTGCCGCTGTCCTCACTTTCACTTCCTCTGCTTTTTCAAGGTCCCACTTCAAATGCTTCCCAACAAAACTGAAGCAAACTATTTGAGAAAAGCTTAACACCACTTACAGTACTGCTGTATTTTGTTTTTTTGCACCAAGAATCTGGTCTGTGAATACCCTATTAAAAGTACTCTTCAGAAACAGTGTGTTTTCCCCACTTATTAGAGCCGGGAAAAGTCAAGCTTGTACAAATTAAACCTCTCTCTGTGTGTTTTTCTCTTGCAACCCTTCTGCTAATTCAAAGAGAATTGCCTAATGATGATGGTCCCCTTTAAACGTCTATGTTTAGCACTCTTAGCACTTGAAGCATGTCTTGCAGCCGTTCCCGCAGTTTTAGAGGATGCAGCATTATCACAGCTCACTTTTCCACTCGAAACTTAAAGTTTAAGATCCTGATTTCCTGATTGTTGCTAAAGATGCGTCATATCGATGGAGTCTAATTGCCAAAACTCTCTGTGTTGCTCACCTTAATAAGTTTTGTTATTCACTTCAATTTGATCTTTCCTTATTGAACTAACAGCACGGCCAGATTGCCCTGAGCAAATACAAGCCACTGAGCCCTTGTTAACCGCCCTCCCCTTCCTCCCCTCTCTGTGCAAAGTGTACAGTATTCCTATGCTGGAATATTATAGTGCCCCAGGTTTGTTGTGTGGAGGTTTGATTAGGTAAGTAACATGTAAACACAATTTAATCTGAAATAACAAGTGTCTTTAGATCAAGACAGGTCCTGTGTGAAAGCCTTTATCATGGCAGGTGGAGGTTGTTTGAGTGATGCATATTCCTAAAAACAATCCACAACGAATAAAATACCAGAGGTGGAATGTAAGTCCATTTACTGGAGTATTTGCAGTCTGTGCTATTTTATATTTTTAACACTCAAACTCTCATTTTTCTGCCTTCCATACTCCAGCTTCATACAGTCACCCACCTAAGGATATATGGATGTCATGTCCTGTCATGCCC